AAAGGGCTATTTGAGCACTAAAATTGATGGTTTTTGTTGTCAGGTCTAATATGAGCTCAGACTGTCAGGTTAGGTGTGATGCTTACAGCAGATTAACTGTGCAACCCCCAACTTCACCACACTTCACCAATACCACAATACGCCCACGCACGTACATACCCTTAGCTCTAGCACATCTATTATCTTTGTTTATTATAAAGAGTTTTGGGGTGAGTTTCTAGCAGATATTTGAATGTGATTAGTTCTAATTACTGAAAGAGTCTTTGCTTTTTAACACTTGAGACCCTTCAGATTGGCTTGAATTGCACCAACATGCACACTTCTGTTTGCAGCGGGAGGAAAACAGAAGAACAGCAGGATTATCTATTCAACTAGAACCCAATAGAGAACAATGACTGATAAGAGACTTCCCAGAATATGTGTGATTAGATTTCTTTTATTATATCAAACGTGTTTATGGTCAATTGTTGGTCCCAGAAAAGCAGAAAGAGAGGTGTTTGAACATAAAAGCAAGGATAGAGATAAAGTGAAAGGCCTCCATGGCACACTCTCTCACTTACACTTTTGTGCTTTATTAAAGAAAACATTTGGGGAATGAATGGAGAGAAAGTGGAAAGTGTTTGAGCACAGAGTGGAGAGTAGTAACAGAAAGGAAAGTGTGTTTTTGGGGTGTTTTTTTCTCTTTTTTTTTGCAGCTCTGCAGCTGTATGGGTGTGTGTGGCGATGGACTCTGGCCTCAGTTTCCAGGAAAAGGGGGGAGCCATCAGAGGGGTGGACAGGAAACTCTAACAGGGCTAACTTCCTGTAACTCTCACGATGGCCGGTCCGATAGTGAATGAATGTGTGTTAGTGTATGTGGGTTGGTACGCTTTTATCTGTTGTGCTGTGGTACACAGACCCGAAACAGCTGTTCTTACTGTGAAGTTTCACAAGCACGTCGACGGCTTTTAAAAGGGGATCGGATCAAATTTGAAGTTGCCATTTTGTCACAATGAAAGCAAATGAATGATTTCTCTTCCCTCTCTGCTATAACTTGTATTGTTCTCCTTTTTTTGTGTGACTTCCTGTGCATTCCTGTGTAGGTGGGGTGGCTGCAGCCAGGAGGTTAGTCATCTCAAAAGGTTGGAGGTTAAAATCTCAGACCCCTCTGCAGTCATTATTCAGATTTATGTTTGGGCTCTGACAAAAACTGGTGCAGCATATCACTAATTAGATACTAGAACCTACATTCTTTTAGACAAATACTGATTTAATTCCATTAAAAATGGATTATAAATGGCATTAGGTTCCAACACAAACTTATCGGTTTATCCTTGTCTCTTGCAAATACTCTCACACACTATAAACTTATCTTTTTTTTTACATTTTGTCACACTAGAATCACAACCTCCCATGCATTTTGCATGGATTATATGTAAAACACATTGCTTTACATTACTGTACCTCACAGACTCAAGTCTTTTGCAGCCCAATAAATATAACTCCAATCATCTTGTCATTGGAGTCAATCAGCTTTCCTGTTGCTGCTAAAAAAAAAAGACCTGACTGCATGATGCTGCCACTGTTTCCTTGCCAGGATGTCCTGTTATCGATGATACTAAGCATTACGTTTGCCACAGATTTAGGTATCATTGAGATAACCTGGCCATGTTTCTGCTGGTCTGTTTCTGTTTGGACAACAGCTGAAACTTTATGGGTTCTAGAATAATAAAAAAAAGGCTTTTGATCGACAAAAATGCATTTTTTAGTAGAAAACTAGAAAAAAATGAGTAAAAGCAGCACAGTTTCGAAATATTGTGGTATTAAAGAAATCATGATAAAAATTTTGTCTCACGCTGATATTTAGATTTGGATAGAACTGCATAAAAATATAAATAAATACATGCTAAATATTTGGTGGTTAGTGGTCAGGCTTTCTGCTCTGGTGACTAGCCTGCATTATACAGCGTAACAGATCTGCTGCTTGTAACTTAGCAACTGTCACTTTGAAACAGGGTTATTGCACTAAGTGTGATGGGTGGCGCCTCTTTGTCTCATACTCTGATCTTGTGTTTCTGTGTTTCCAAGAGGCCAAAGTGCTGTAGTCTTTTTCAGCCATCTGACCCCCAGTGCACAGCAAGAGGCACTTAGATGCGCTGCTACATTATTTATGCTTTATAAAGCTGGAGAAAACTGTGGTCACACCACACCCATTCATAGGGTTATCAAAGTGTGCATTTTTTTTTTTAAAGAGGAAAGTGACTAGTGAAGCATAAAAATAGTTGTCCTTTCACCAACTTTCAACGGGAAAAAGAAACGAACGCCTCATTCTGCAAACTTCTAGCCTTTTTGTAGCTTTATTAAAGGAGTAAGTTCAGGATTTTAAGTGCTTAGTTTAGGTGCTGACTACAACATATTTTAAAGTCTTTTACTTTATCCCACATCATCTAGAAAGTAGCCAGATAGTAAAAGATTTAAACACATAAGTTGGCGAACATCTCCCTTTTAAAGCAGCTGCTTTTAGGTTATGATAGACTTAAAAGCACACATATAAAAATAGCTCATAGCTACCAAATAGCTACCAAAGCCCAGAGCCATTTGGCCTGAGCACATCGTGTCAAGTTAACTCTTTTGTTTTTAAACTGTGTGTAACTGAACGATTCAGCTTTAATGGTGTTCTATTTCAGGAGAGTTATCTTTGGGGAAGCAACATTCATATACAAATCTACTTCTTTCTAATTAGAACTGAACGTTTAAGTAAAATGAAACAGAGCAAATATATGTTTGTATTTCGAATTTATCCACTAAGAAGGAAATAGCAACCTGAAGTTATATGAAGAAATTAAAATTAAAAGAAAAAAAAATTAAGAAGAAAGAAACTGTCTGACAACATGAGGTAGACGGGAAGATTGTAAAACAACATCATAGAGGCATTACACAGCTAAGGATGATCTGTGGCTATGCTTGATATGCTGTTGATCAGTGAGACAAAAGGGAAAATATTACAGCTGGTATGGATGTTAAATATATTTTAGAGAAAAATAATGTCTTTATGTGGTTTAGTCAAAGTTAAGTCTGATATAGATGCTGTAACAAGACCTTAAGCAACCTTCTAAGGTGCCTGAAGTAAATGAAGTATGCAGAGCGGGCAAAAAACCCTCCACAAAGATAATAAAGAGTGATCACCACTTCTTTCAAAATCCTTGTTGGCAGTTTCACAACCGTTTATCGGCTTTCCTAAGCAATTACTTTTCATCTGAAAGTGTTTTCCTTCTTAATCATTGAAATATTAATGGAAATAAGTCTTTTTGTTTGTGTTATTTTTTTGTCATCTTGGTCTAATGTACACTTCAAAAAATGTAAATCTAAAAATGCAGTCTCTTATTTCAAGTGCATAATATCTAATGATCCTATTTTAAGGGTAAAGTTCCTCATTCCATTGGAAGATATTCTTATTTTCCAACTTAAACTATTTTAAGAATTTTTTTCTCATATTCAGAATTTTACTTATATTCAGTTTTTGCTGTGTTAAAAAACCAAAGCAGAACAAACCTGTAGCGGGGACATTTTTTATCAGGTCGGCATAATGTACAAAGAAAAAAGAAAAACAAACAGGGTATCACGTTATTGTTTTAATAATAAAAAAGAAGTGTTGATTGTACACTATTGCTTTATTATTTGTTGTGTTTTTTGCTTCTCTACATGTTCTGTTACATATTCTTTCCTCACTAGTCTTTCTCTTTTATGCCGCCTCTTTAATCCTCCTCGGACAAAAAGCCTGGCGCAAGATTACAAGCCATTAGGAATTTCTTCTAAAGCAGCGTAGGAAACTCTCTCTCTCTGTTTATATATATATAGAAACACAGTGAAGCAAGTTTTTCTGCTTTTCATTTTAAATTTTTTCTCTACCAAACATAATTAGAATATGTGTTTCCCCTCATTCTAATAATAGGGCAACTTTGAATTTAATTTGTATTGAAATGCACAAAATTACAAAACCTTTAAGTGATACTAAATAGTTGCTGAGAGGGATGTCTTTTCTGCTGAGCTCAATAATAAAAAGAACAGGAATTCCCATCAGTATAAAGCAGATTTATCTATTTCTGTTTGCAAACAATGAAAGTCAGTGAGTCACATGAAGGGAAGTCTGATAAATGGAGGTGCTCCTTTTTTTGGGGGGGGGGGGGGTTGTGTGCTAAAGATGTTGACCCACTTCAGCCTGGAGTTGCAAAAAGAGCTCGCTGAAACATGCAGCAACTAAACCCAAGTGACATTTTGTTTACAGTAGCAGCTTTTTTAATGCAACTTAAGCTTACTGGTAGGCAACAGAAAAAGGGCTGGACGCAAACGCAATCTTTTCTTCAATTATGACTAATAATGCTCTAAAAGCACAGCGGCTGACCTGCAAGGCCTCAGTTTGCAGCCAAATGTTCTGCCTGCAGATGAAAGGTTTTACACGTGTCACTGTAAGTTTGTTCCTCTTCGAACTCTACGTTTGGGTCAGTGTCTTTTTTTTTTTTACTTTACTTGCTTTGTTAACGGGCGTTCTGCTGAAACATGAAACAGTGTGCTGTTTTTCTCCAAAGTTGAAGACCTACAATGACACAATGATCTTTGTCGAAATCTATTCAGCAAAGTCACTTTATGTCAGTTATACTTTGCTCCTGTGTTGACATTTAAAAGCTCTTTTCAGTCCAAACTCTAACGCAGGCACACATACACTGTAACACCTACACAGCTTCTGACCAGAAAGAATAAGTTAATACCCCCTGAACAGCACAGCAAAAAGGGAAGTGGCTAACCTCATGCTTTTCTGTCTACCCAATACCAGACTGTATCTTTTTGTTTTTTAAGTTTTGTCTGCTTGCAACTGCCCAACGCTTTTCTGCTCCTAAGCATTTTTCTAATGTGCAGTGCTACGGTTCCTTCTTTCCAGTTCTCCTCCATTCATCTCCAGTTTGCACTGCTCTCCCCTTCCAGCCCTCCGTCATTCAACCCCTCCCGTCTGTTTTTCTTTCCAGTGGCGATGGTGATTGACAGACAGATGATCTGACAGAGGAAGACATCAGGTGGGAAAAATTGTGAACTTCTCCTTTCTACCCTGCAATTGATTCCTCCTTCTCTCTTCTCTCCACCTCCTACTGCTTAAGGGAAGTTTATTTTAAATTTATTTAAAGTTGGTGACTTCTCTTTCCGCAGTTCTCTGTGTTTGTGGGGTTAAATAGAGTCACTTTCAGATCACATCATCTTCCAGTAATTAATTTAGCTGCAGTGACGGGCTGCATGTTCCTTTCTATGTTTTATGGCTTTTTTTTAATCCACTTGCAGAGAAATTTCTTACAAACGTAGTGAACAAATTTAAAAAAAGGGTATAAAAAAATCATATTGTTTGCTTCTACAGACGCTGTCGCTGTGCTGGTTATTATGGGGTGTACCTGTTGCAAGCAGAAAAAGTCCGTCAAATCGATAGGGGCAGAATCAGCAACAATAGATGTTACGGATCTGTCTGCAAACAATGCAGAGGGAGGACAGTTGGGAGGATTGTCCCAGCGTTACTGTCCTGACCCCACTATCCCAGACTTCAACAAGCCTTTCCCGTCGCCTTCGGCCTTCCCCGCAACAAACACGCACCCCCGCCCCGGAGGCATGGGTAGGCAAAAAAAGACCTTCAAACACTTATCTTCCTTTTTTTTTTTTTCGATCATGCAAATTTCCTTTTTTTATAACTGCGTGGCGCCGAAAAATATCTGAAGATGCAAGTAATGCTTGTGGTTGGATGCTCTCATGTGCTATTTATTTGTCTGGTTTTCCTGCAGGTGGAGGAGTCACTCTCTTTGTAGCTTTGTATGACTATGACGCTCGCACTGAGGATGACCTTACCTTCCAGAAAGGAGAGAAATTCCAAATCATCAACAACACGTGAGCTAGATCAACACACCTGCAACACCTGCACCCTTATTTCACTTTCTTTATTTTACAGCCACAAACTCAAGAGGTGTTTTAAAAGGGTTCTCTATGCAACAGATCAACAGATGTAGAAATTTGGAAAATTGAATGAAGACAAAACTTAGACTTACACAAACTTTATTGTCATTTTTTATGCATACAAAATTTCGATTTAAAGGGATGTGAAAATCGCCATGTAGTGCAAATATGAGGTTTACATCGTGATGCAGCATCTTCATTTGTGACTTGATTAGAGTTTTAAGTTCAACAGTCTTATCGCAGCGGGGGAAAAGCTGTTGCAGAACCTGCATTGAATGCTAAGAAACCTCTTCCACAGAGGTCAGCGTAGAGAACAGTCCATGGTGGGGTGCTAGGGGTCGCTGATGATGTTGCCGTCTTGGGACACGCAATGGATTAGAATGTTTATTTAAAGATCCAAATCGGAAATTTATAATGTGCATTTTGTATTTAATACGCTTTACTCTGAAACCTCTAACAAAAACACTAAACGAATTGTTCCAGAAGTCACCTAGTCGGTATAAATTAATTCTGTGTGTTATCAAATCTTATGTTGTCCTGAGAAGTTGATAGAGAACATCCAAGAACAAACAGTTGGAGATCGACAATTTATGTGTCAGGACAGCTGATTTGCAGCCTTATTTTCAGTTTTCTACAAGAAGTTGCTCTAGTCCAATTTGTTCTGGAGAGAAATACTGTAAAATCTAGCAATGTATGTGGAATTTGACGGTGCTAATTAAAGGTTTTGCTAGAACACCTGATCTGAAATTTAAAGTAACTCAGTTATAATTCATAAATCAGTCCAATTGAGCATCTGAACCAAGACCTTGAAACTGAGCCATCTGATCTTAATGAGCTTAGTTTCCAAAGAAGAAATGGAGAAAAAAAATAAAATAAATTATAGCGTTTTTGATTGATGTCTAAAACCGTGCAATAGTTTGGACATTAAAAACCCCAAAAAATTCTGAAATATTTGATTGTAGCGTGACCTACTGCGTTATGTCGGGTTTGTTAGTAAACTTCAAGAGACTGAAGCTGGATATTGATGTGTACAGATGTTACATGCAAACAACAACTGAAACAACTGTCTAAGGTGGTAATAGCATCCACAGTTCTGTGAAGTGTTTAATCTTCAATGTGTTAAACCAAGGTGACCATTTTTCTATGCGTTAAACTTCTTCCTTTATGCAGGAATTTCACTTTTTAAAAAACGTTTTAGGTCTAAGTGACTGCAGAACGTGTCGATCAGCTTTTGTTATTGAAATACAATTATTCCTGCTTTGCGAATGTAAAATCAATTTACATGATGTTAACATTTGGCTCAGCAGATAATGTTGGTTATTACTAATCCAGACGTATTTTATTTTTGCAAATTGTTTTTTGGTTCCAGGGAGGGTGACTGGTGGGAGGCCCGCTCGTTGAACACCGGCCACTCAGGATACATCCCCTCCAACTATGTAGCTCCGGTCGACTCCATACAAGCTGAGGAGTGAGTTTGCACCAAAATAAGATATACACACAGCAGTAACTGCTACTTTTTGTTCTGCTTTAAGCCAAAGCTTGAGATTTCCGCAGTGATTGACATGTAGTCTGAAAGCAGAGGTCAAGCAATGTGTGTTGTTACTCCGGTCACCTGTGTGCTGTTCTCATGGTGACAGGTGGTATTTTGGGAAAATGGGGAGGAAGGATGCAGAGAGACAGCTGCTGGCTCAGGGCAACCAGAGGGGAACTTTCCTCATACGAGAGAGCGAGACCACCAAAGGTGGGGAGACAAAACAAACATTCAACATGTCTATGTACACTTGAAGGACTAAAAATACAAAAGCTTTAAACTCTTCTGTGTGATTATCAGCCAACCTTTCCTCACCTTCCACTTCATCTTCCTGTCATACAGGGGCCTACTCTCTTTCCATCCGTGACTGGGACGACACCAAGGGAGATCATGTCAAGCATTATAAGATCCGCAAACTAGACAATGGTGGCTACTACATCACCACGAGGTCACAGTTCGACACTGTTCAGGAGCTGGTGGTCCACTACACAGGTAAAATGGAAATAAATTCACAAATTTCTCCTTTTTTTTTCTAAGTTAAACCTTGTCTCCCTCTGTTCAAGTGTTTATGATCCTCCTTGATTTCCTTTTATTATAATGTCAAATTAATACAGTCCTGATGAATAATTTGTAAAAAAAAAAAAAGTTTCTCAGTTCCAGCTCACAATTATGACCTACTTTGGGTGGGCTTTGGTTAGCATAACAAACACCTAACACATTTTCTACGTGTCACACCAATAACTTTATAAAAGGCATGTGAGAAAAACGTTCGTTTAGCTTGAATGGTTTTGCAAGGAAATGATAGGTAGTCTTATGTGATGCAACATTTTGCTGTTTGTAAAATAACAGTACTTGTTTGCACAGAGCTTTTGTGCAACAAAGGTGGGCAGCTGTGTAGTTCAGGTATGACTAACAGGACAAATGAACATAAAATAGCTTTTATCAAGCAACAACATAATCAACATTAATTTAAAGTCCAAAAACCAAAAAAAAGAAGAGTTTTCATGAGATGTGTTTCACTTCCTCCTGTCTGTTGGTCTAAACCTGCCTCCTAGTGGGCCATGTTGGTACTGAAGCACATTCAGTTTGCATCCTGACATAATGTATCATTTGTCTTCTGTATTTTATGCAGTATCCTGGCAATTCTGCCATATTTGTGCACATTTTTTCCTTTGTTTGTTACATGTTGATTTCTGCTGTGCTTCTGTGTGTCTGCCTGATTTGCATTTGATAAGGAATCTGTCTTGTTCTTCCTTTATTTTCTGCTTTTGCTCCGTTTTCCTCTATATTTCTTTTTGGTCTGTCTGTGTGTCTCTCCGTCTCTCTGTCTCAGAGAGAGCGGCGGGACTGTGCTGCCGTTTGATGGGCAGCTGTAAGAGGGGCATGCCTAAGCTGGCCGACTTATCGGTGAAGACCAAGGATATGTGGGAGATTCCCCGCGAGTCTCTCCAGCTGATTAAGAAACTGGGCAACGGCCAGTTTGGAGAAGTCTGGATGGGTAGGACTGTTGGGGGTTGGTTGAAGGGGGGAGGGAGATAACAACAGATGCACATCTGAATATTGAAATGTATTTTGGGGACAGATTTTAATTACTGGTTGATTAAAATCGGAGTTCATCCGTAAACATTTACACACTAATAAATATTCCTGTGAAACAGAAATGGAAAAAATGTTGTAGGTGCATAAAACAGTAGAGGGTGAGTTTGCCTTCCACATCCAGGTGTGCTGCGTTGTTCTCCTCATCCTCCTGTGGTTGCATGTGCATGCATTTAACACTCACATCACCTTTTGTCACCCCCTGTCATCTTTCCACCCACTCTCACCTATCACCTTCAACCTTTCTTCTCCCATCCTCCATCACCAAACCTCTCTCCTTTCATCTCTGGCATTTCCTCCTCCTCCTTCCTCCTCCTCTCAGGAAGTAATGATGGACTGTGTTATTACCTGACCAAGGCCTGTCCAAACTCCACCCCTCTCACCTTGGGCCTTGGGCGGGATGCCTGGGAGGTAGCGAGGGAAACACTGTCCATGCAAAGGAAGCTGGGACAGGGGTGCTTCGGGGACGTCTGGATGGGTGAGACTGATACGGGAAACCTTTGAAAAACACCAGGAAAGAACAGGGCTGGAGCAAAGATTATTCATTGTTTTCAGAGTGAGGTTAGATATTTCCTTTCATGCCACTTATTGCTTTTCACTGTAGAAGACACAAGTAGGATATTTTTACCCTTATATAAAGAAGAACCTGTCCAAAATGTAAGTGTGTTTGAGTGTTTAACATATTGGTTTCGTCCTGATGTCATTTGTGCATCATCCACATACAGTGCTGTGGGAGGTTTCCATAAACCCACCATCCACATCAATTTAAAATCATTAAAGACAAATTTTAACAATTATTTTTACGGTGATTGTAAAACAGGATATAAAATCTCAACATGCGTAGAATCCCCACTACTATATATATAAAGAAACATCTGTTTCTAGTTGTTTTCCTGGCATGGGCTTTTTGTTGGGCTGATTGTTAGCATAAATATACTAATTCCAAAGATACATTTTAAATTTTCCTTATGACCATCACCTTTTCTAACTGCTGATTAGGTTCAAGAGCTTTAAGAAAAAAATGTCCTCTATCCTTATTCTTTTGTCCACTCTTGCAACATTTAGAAACCTTGCTGACGACCAAAAATGCTACCAGCATGATGCTACCACCACCATGCTTTACAGCAAGGTTTGGCATCCCTCTTGGTGGATTGTTGAGCCCTGCTCTTGTTAGGAATGGAAATGTTTTTTTAAAACTGTTTGGGTTCATGGTGTAAACTTCGCTTTAAGCACAGCTAATACACTTTCATTAAAGTTGAGGTTTGGACCATTCCAGAAGCAGTGGATCACCACCAATGACAGAGAAATAAGCCCACAGCATGATGATGGTTCAACCTTAAAAGACAGATTATAGAGGTTTCTAGGGTTTGAAACCTTCTCTTAGACTACATACTTCATTACATGTGCTCAATATAGATTTATATGATATTTATCCCCTGTGACCATAAGACTTTTCTCCTGATGATGTTTGGCTGCTTTAGGTTAGAGGATTGCACATTTATATTGCATCTGTTTCCAGATTTCTGACCTGGGGAAATGTTTGGATTGATTGATTGAGCTATCTATAAGCGGAGTCTGTGTATCAACAGACACCTGCATTGAAATTGTTTGTTTTACAATCAGTCCGCTGTAGATAAAGTTCAACTGTTTCAGTAAAAGCCCTAAATTCAGACATTCATGCCCATTGTGAAAGCATTTAAAGTTCAACTGGCACCGTGACTCAGGCTCTGCTTTTATTGATGCAAGAAAACCAGATAAACCTCCCTTCATCTCTCTTCCCTCGACCCACTACTTCACACCAAGCATGCCTTCAAAATAAGCAAAAATGCATGCATGAGTATTTACCACATGTAACAAATCACTACTCCATTATTTATCATTTTGTTTTATCCACACTGTGTGTGTGTATACAACTGTTGCTAAGGCAGACAAACCGTCACTAGAAGCCTTTCTCTGTGTTCGTACCTGCTTTTCTGTGCACCCGTTAACATCAACTCGTCTGTATGCCAGGCATGTGGAACGGCACCACCAAGGTAGCGGTGAAGACTCTGAAGCCAGGAACCATGTCCCCCGAGGCGTTCCTGGAGGAGGCTCAGATCATGAAGAGGCTCCGGCACGACAAGCTGGTGCAGCTCTATGCCGTCGTGTCTGAGGAGCCCATCTACATTATCACTGAGTTCATGAGCCAAGGTACTGGGCTGCATAAAATGTCACTGTTTTGACATGTTGTAGGTTTGAACTGCTTCCATCACATACTGATGTCAAGCTTTTGAAGCCATATTCCTTTTTTTTCTATTCCTTAAATAATATGTATGGTTAATAAAACTCAGAGGAATTTATTTGAATCAAAATGATTCACTTTATTTGAACCATTGCAGTTTGTATAAAACTTGCTTTAGATAAAGTAAAAACTGCAATGGTTCAAAGGTTTAGTTTTAGAGCTGTTAAGAACAGAAATCCAATTAGATGAGTTGTTTCAGCACATTGATTTTTACTATATTAGAAACCTCTCAAAATAGCCGAGCAGAGAAAATGATAAAACATGGGAAGTGCAAACAGAAACAGGCAATTATAAACCAGAGTCGAGTTTTTTATATTATATGACGTTTGAACTTTGATGCAGGAATGATATCTGACCCATGTTTCTGCACCAACATGGAAAACCACTAATGGCTTAATGATAACAATTAAAACATGTTTTTCTGTATTTTCAACCTTTAAATGCTGCAGAGACATTTTTCACTTTAGAAGATGAAATGTTTAAATAATTAGTAATATACAAATGACTTTCAACCATATTCGACCATTAATTCAAATTGAATGAGAAACCTCACTTCTAATTTTGGCTTTTTTCGACGATTTTCTATATAAAGATGGATATCATTTAAATGCATCCTTTTAACAAATCAAGTGCAAGTTGTATTGTATTATGGGATTTTAATTCTTGTTAAGATGTTACCTTGTTAAAAAAAAAAAAGAACATTTCCCACCACTGGTCACAACTGTGCCATTTTATCTTTGGCTGTACCTTTAGAATCTTTTCTCTGATAAAACAATGGTTTCCAAGCTTTTCTCACTTGCTTGATCCTGCGACATATGAGGAAAACTCAAACCATCTGTATTTTATTTAGAAGTTTTAGAGCAAAAAGGATGAGTGCAAACAGATGCCTTATTTTTCCTATTTATTTCACTAAAATGTTAAAAAGCCCTGCCTCATCTTTATCATACACCTTAGAACTTTGCACGTTGTTTTGGTCGATCACATTTGATCTAAATTCCTCCAGCTTTCTGGTCATTATGTTTTGAAACATAAAGAAATAAATGTAGGTATTAGATGAAGGAGAGATCTCAACTTGTTTGACAACAGTACATTACATTTTAAATATCTTTTATTCCTCCTCCAATAGTCTTTGTTTCTCTCTCCATTAAAGCCAAGATTAAAGGATAGTATCTCACAGAATTAATTCTCATTTAGGGGTACTACTGAAAGAATACAAATAGGTAAAATGATGATCAAAACTAAAAAACTTTTTTTTAAATGCCTCTTTTATATAAACTGTTTATAGAACATATAAAAAGGGATAAAAAAAATTTGCCCCATTTCTTTCAAAAACCACCATAAGAAGTAAAAGTTTTGAAGCTAAGTTTTTCCAACTCATCTTTCAAAAGTGCCATTTTTCTTTTAAACACACTGTTGTATTTTCTCACTTAGGAAGTTTATTGGACTTCTTAAAAGATGGAGAAGGGCAGAACCTAAAGCTGCCTCAGCTGGTGGACATGGCAGCACAGGTGGGCTTCAAGACAAGCAGCACATGGTGGAAAAAAGCTCTTCTGCAGATATGAGCAGTTCTGTTTTTTTTTTCTTGGCGTGCAGATTGCTGCTGGGATGGCGTACATCGAGCGGATGAACTACATCCATCGCGACCTACGAGCTGCCAACATCCTTGTTGGAGACAATCTGGTGTGCAAGATCGCTGACTTTGGCCTGGCCAGGCTAATTGAAGATAACGAGTACACGGCCAGACAAGGTGGGTGTAAGGGATAAAAGTTTGTGGTTCTCTTTGGCATTTAATTGATTTATTTAAACCCATCTTTTGGAAGGCTGGAATTAACATAAAATTTCATTATAGTTTTAAAAATAAGAAATCAAATGAATAAGTCAAAAAGTTTTGCGGCGATTTGAGTCAAAATCAAAAGTTAAAGCTCACATACAGAGAGATGCACAGACACTAGGTGGTGCTAGCGCACCTGCCCTGTTTTCCTTGGGACAAAAAAGTGATTACCTGGAGTAACTTTTTTTAAATCTGCAGTTTGTGACCCTAGGTAGCATTTCTGAATTTGTGATTTTGCTCAATGAGACGTCACATATATACACATGTGACATGCCCCACTGTGTACCTCTTTTCACGTAAAGGCGCAAAGAGGACAGATGGGTGCGCGCTGCGTAGCGCCACCTCTACTCTCCTCCCTTCGCCGTTCAGTAGAACCCTGCCCTGGTGAAGGGCCAGCTATCCATCCAGGTAACAAACAAAAACAATGGGTTTTAAAACGTAAACTTTTACCAGCAAGCCAATAACTGGCGCACCGTTCCCTGCAACATCTTCAATGCCCGCCACATGGTGCCAGGGTGCTTTTTAAAATGTTGCTCTTAGATTTATTACATTTGCTAAGATAGCCTCTATTGACATTTATTTGAGTCATATCTTTTTATGGTAAATAAAGCATACCCCCATCTAATAAAAATTTTATTTAAATACTAACATAAGGCCAAATGAGCTGGTTAGTGCAGCATGTAGACATCCTGTAATCAATTCACAGGGCTAATCTCATAATCTTAAAAATCTTATAAATCTTAACTCTAATTTTTGTCTACCTGGCTACATAGATGATTTTTTAATGGGCATATTTCTTTCTTTTGGTTTAATTTTGAAGCTACGAGGAGGTGTGTTTTTCTGTTTTTCTGAATTAACGGATTATTTCTTTGCAAAAAAAAAAAAAAGTTAAAAAGCCATGGTTTTCTAAGTTAGCAGATAAAATGTGAAGAGAAGAGGACGGGGGGAATAACTTTGCCAAGAGTAGGATTCAGTGTGCAGGTGTGATCACAATATGAACAGACTAATACTGATGGCGTCTACATAACTAAGAGACAAGAGGATTTCCCACAGTCTTAATTCCCAAAGGAAGTGAAAATGAATTCAACAAATGTCGAAGCTCCTCAGAAGGAAAGGCGTTTAGAGCTTAGAAATCTGCAATGGCAACAAAAACAGAACACAAAATCACAGCAAGATTATTTTCACGGCTCAGAACAGAGGACCTGGTATTCAGGCAAGACAGACAGTGGGATTACTCAAAAAGCGTTTATTTAGAACTGGCAGAGCTGAGTAGTAGCTGCTAGGGCGTCTGAGGCAGGAAACTGTGGAGAAAGGAATCACGGGTTAGTGACCGTGTAAATCTAACCAAGGAAGATTATAAACACGAGTCACTAACCTAGTTTAACAGTCAAGTCTATCACCAGAGAACGAGGTAGGATCCAGCCAGTGGGCTACCAACAAGATGCGTCTAGCGCCTCCCAGAGTGTCCCAGACACAGCAGCCCCATGGAACAAGTAGGAGTCCGAAGACACGTCAGGCAAACAGTTCAGAACAAGAACAGACAGGTTCATTTGTTGAGAGGCAGAATAGGTCAGGATCAGAAACTTAGAAACACCAAGATACTCTAAAAACACTATCACCACTGGCACAAGAGAACAAGAATAATCTAGCCCTGATGTCTGGATCCATGCACCTTAAATAGAGGCAGGGGCAGGTGGATCAGATAAGTAGTGATGAGAAATCAGGCAGAGTTAGACAGGTGAATGGAATGAGTAATTAAGCCAGTCATCAGCACCAAGATAATGACAATTATCTTGTTGATTTAGTAAAGCAGACCATTTTTTCCCCTAGGTCAATGCAATATGATTCCATATAATTTCATTTTATTTTTTTTGTTTGAGTTTTTTTTACAGCACTAGTGGCACGTTGTTCTGACAGTAGGCCGACAGGAAATGGAGTATGAGAGAGGGAGAGAGACATGAGGCAAAAGACCACAGGCCATATTCGAACGCCCGTTCTTTTCTTATAAATGATTTAAGCTGTAGAATAGTCCCTGGATACTCAGTTTTTTTAAGCTAACCCATTTTGTGGGACCTACCTGGTAAATTTGTCAAGGTAGCCTGCTTAGTTCCAACATTAAATTATATGATACAGAGGATATTTTCCAGCAAAAGTACAGACTGATGTACTCAAGACAGACACAAAAAGAAAGAGAATGGTAATGTATGATTCAAATTTGACTCAAATACAGATTATGAGTCAGTGTTCAACCTTTTAATTAATGGTGCACATCAAATATGTATTCGATAGAACCTAAAGTGACATCGCTTTTCTTCTTTTGTTAGATAAACTAATCTATAGGCTGCTGAACATTTTAAACATCCGCCTCATTAGCTATTGATTTAAAATAGATATATATTTACATCATAGTTACATCGTTGAGCTGCAGCCGTATTAGATCTCATATTACTCAGCAGCCAGTGGCTCCATGTTCCATATAAGGTTCCCTTCTTTCCACTTGAGCCCCTTCCCCCAAAAATGTCTGTGCACGTCACTGCTTGAAAATATGCATGCCAATATTTAGATAAATGTCCCTTAAAAAGTGGGAAACAGATGGCTGATGATCCCTCTTTAGTTCATCTACAGGGATTTTATATTTTTAAGGTGTCACCAAACTTCCACCATGTAGTTTTTAATTCTGAAGTGAATTTGAAAGACAGCAATCATCTCAGCGCAACACCCACTGTAGTGAGCATGATGCTGATGCTTTACTGCTCTGCATTTGGTATGAGAGGGTTAGAATTGATAACCTGACCTTAATCTAAAATATCCTCATAATTATAATAGCTTAATAGCTCAATTTATTTGTCACCTGATCATAAAAATGAAAGTAGCTCAGCTAACAGCCCCAAATTAATATAATATTCATAACATGATAGGTGGATGCAAACTTCTTAATGGACTGAAATGATGTTGGTGCAGAAAACAAAGCGGATCCACGCCCCAGATGCTGTATTTTTAGTCCTAACCTGTCCTTGTTACATGAACACACATCTTGACAGTGTTACTATGGTTTCAGGAGCAAAGTTCCCCATCAAGTGGACGGCTCCAGAAGCTGCACTCTATGGACGCTTCACCATCAAATCAGATGTCTGGAGCTTCGGTATCATGTTGACTGAACTCATCACTAAGGGACGCGTGCCCTACCCAGGTACCTGATAAGACCTGCTTATTGCTAAATTGAAGTTATCATTAGGGAGTGAATATTTATATTTTTGCATGTGAAAAAAATTAATATTAAGACTTTGTTGGTTTTCACACTAACAAACCTTGTTACTGTGCACCTCTGCTAGAGATTTCATAGCCTAGGCACCTCCTCACTTGTAGATGAGAACTTACAGTAAAAGGAGGGTACTCATTTCTTGAGCTCGTACTGTGCCAATTAGCATTCAGATCCCAGGGCACCTTTCAGTTTACATGTTATAATAAGTCAGATAATTTATGCAATTTCTTTGCAAGCAAAACGTTATTTAGATCTTACACCTTTGACTTGTGCTCTGCTAAAATATGAAGAAATATTGTGTGAGAAACAGAAACAGTATTTTCTTCTACTTCCCTCGTTTTCTGCAAATTATGTTTTGCAGCCTTTCATTCTTTTTATTTGCTTTTATTAATTTTTTCCAACTGACTTTTTGAAATATTTTTTCTCAGTGTGTGTGTGTGTGTGTGTGTGTGTGTAGATTGACCCTGCTTCTGTTGTCCAGGTGATGTAAATAAGTATTTTGCAGACTAAAGCTTGAAAGGTTTTCTCTTACGTTCGTATTCAGGGTGACTGCTGCAATGACAGTCGCACCAAAAAAAAAAAAATGTATTTGATTGTAATTTTTTCTCCAAATAGGTAGATTTTTTTCTTGATTTGAACACTTAGGAATAAGACACTATACTTGCAATAGCAAAAAAAAACTGCATTGTCTTTCAAGTGCATAATATCTAATTATCTTATTTTAATAGTAAAAATACTCATTCTATTGGCAGATTATCTTATTTACCTACTCAAATTAAAGGTAAAAATTTATTTTAAGAAATTTTGACTTATTTTTAGATTGCTTTATACAAGCTGTATTATCTTGCCAGTTAATATCTATGCTGACCCACTGAAAAAACACCAAGGCTAGTTGACAATTTTCCCTTTAGATTTTTTACAGTATCTAGTCTAAATCAATAAAACAAACATAAAGGAACCATTTCAGACAAGAAATGTCTGATAATTCAGTTCCTCACAAAGAATGTGCCTTTTTCACATTTATTTTTCTAATATAAACACAAAAGCAACCTTTTTGTTGGGGATTTATCTGGATGACACTTTATTATGAAGTGAAAAGAAAAAGACAATTTGACTTAGTTTTTCTTCTAAGTAATACAAATCTAAAAGGTGACTTATGGTCCACTTTCACCAGCTTCTTTCCGATTACCCCACCTGAGTGTATGATCCCTGCTGCTTCTTCTTTAACAAGCCACTTTGTGGCTTCTCCAATTAAGTTTTTTTAATGTATCAAAAAATAAAAAACATAAATACAACATAGAAATTACCATAGTTATAGTTTCCTATTATATTTCTAGTTATTGCTATTTTATTCAGCTGTTTGTTTTATTTTTCCTCTTTCCCCTTTAGGCATGAACAACCGTGAGGTGCTGGAGCAGGTAGAGAGAGGCTACCGGATGCAAGGTCCCCATGGCTGCCCGGCCTCGCTCCACGAACTGATGCTTCAGTGCTGGAGGCGGGAGCCCGATGAGAGACCCACCTTTGAGTACCTGCAGTCCTTCCTGGAGGACTACTTCACCGCCACAGAGCCACAGTACCAGCCAGGAGAAAACCTGTGAACGGTGTCAAGTCGGACAGATGTGGAGCTATAGCTGAACACAAAGATACAGTGACTGAGATGTTGAAGTCGTGCATTTATTTGTGCCTTCAGTGTTTTTGATCCACACTTACTCATATGAAGAAACATATCAATGACTTTTGACGTTTCCTTTGGTTTGGTTGCGGATCGCTGCATCGTGCTTAGAGCAGATCAGTTATCCATGTTGAGGAGTTGGAGCTCATCTGGTCCGGCCTTGCAGTAATGTTGCTTTACTCTGTAACCATGACAACAGGCAACTGAAAGAAAATGTAGATGCTTGTGTTGAAGGGTGGGTTGAGGGAGTCCAGTGGGTGCATGATCTGTTCAGCTGCCAGATTTCTTCAGGTCCTTTGATTTCTTTTTTTTTTGTTCTGTGTGCAGAATGTCATCAGATTGACTAATTTCGGCGTGAAAAAATACGCTGATGTAAAAGAATCTCACCTGCAACAAGTTGCACATCTTGAGGAAGCTCAGACGGCTGTCAGTGAGCCTTGTATTCCTTTGTCTAACAAAATCATTATACCATTGTTCTTTAGCAGTAATAGAGTGGAGGTCTGGGTTCATTATACTTATAATATTTGATTTAAACAAGGTCTGATATTAGATCTATATCTGTTTCCTTAAACAAGTGCCTTTAGTGCTGTGCCAAAAGTGGAGGGGACAAGGAATGTGCTTTACGTATTAATTGTTTCACTCATTGTTTTAATTTAACTGAATTATATCTGTGCATTCAAAACTGTTGTATATCTTGAAAACATGTATGCATGTTTTTCGTTTTTTTGAGATAGGAGGGTTGAAAATGGAAAACATAAGAAAGAATGGCCTCTGGCAGTGGAATATGAAGCAATAGTGTTTTAAATGTTTTTTAATCATTTTTTTCATGAATGTAACCATTATGTTGCAAACCCTTCTGTCATTTTACTGTAATAAAGATCAGATATCTTTTCCAGGTCACCATTTTTTTCTTTATTGAACATGTTGAAAATGTAATTTGGGATGGGATAAATGGTAGTTTTATTTACATAAAAAAATCTGAACAATGCAGTGTTCAGATTTCAGTTCTTTTGCTTATGTCTCTACCAGCTTGCCAGGTCTAAAAAATGATATCATGTTGATGATATGCCAGTTTGTGTTTCCATGTGAAATCATATAGGATGCAGATCCCATTGATTCTTTAATTTTATTTACAGTAGGTCTGGACTCTACACAGGGATGCCTTTTGAGTTAATCCATTCCATTTCTTGTATCCTTTAGGATGTTTCCCTGCAGGAAATTGAAAATCCAATCCAGTCTGAAGTCTTTTCTAATGTGTTTTCATGCAGGGTTGCCACATATTTATCTCCATCCATATTCACTATCAAATCTGACTGGCATTCCTCTCTCTTTTAAAGAAAAGAAACCCACAACATTATGCTGCCACCACTATATTTTAATGTGAGAGCGGTGTGCTCAGAATCATGTGCAGTTTTAGTTTTTTTAATCACACATTGCATATTACATATAGGCCCAAATGCTCCTATGTCAGTCGTTAGAAAACTTCAATACTACTTATACTCTTATTTCAACTCAGTTTTATTATATTACACCAATTCACAACATGGAGCTTTTAAGAGATAATTCAGTCAAATCACATATACCCCGTTTACACTACCCTTAAAAAACTGAGCCGAGACCGGTTCGAGCTCAGTAACTGAGATAAGACTGATTCCTTTTTATATGTAAGGGAAGCCTGCTGATTGTATCCAGTCATTGACTTTGCAGGATTTGTTCCTCCTAAATGAGCATATAAGACCAGTAGATATTAGCATGCATTGTGTCATTAACTCTTTAGCAATCCCTCACACTGAGCATGCATGCAGCAACAGTGGAAAGGAAACACTTCATTTCAACAGAAAGAAACCTCCACCAGAACCAGGTTCAGTGTGAGGCCTGTTTCCTTGACAGAGCCAATTATAATGGAGCTAGTTTACTATTACCCCTTCTAACAACAACAAAAAAAAAAAAACAAAAAAAAAACAAAAAACAGTGCTTTATCTGTGTGCCCAGGCAGAAGGCCAAACAGCTCTGAGACAATTTTCATGTCAAAAAGAATGAAAGAGAGCATACAGTTAATTTGCATTAAATGCTGAGCCCATAGCTATGTCCAGAAGAGAAACATGAGTAACGATTGATCAAATTACTTTGAACAGAAAAAGCAAAGAGAACACAAAGTTAGTGGTTGAACTAACAAATAAATGCAGAATTAGAAAATATCATAAAACAGAATGATGAAATATTTCAACACTGTCCTTCTTTCAATCAAATCCAAGCTTTTGTTGTGTTTAACTAATAGCTGAGTTGTCTGCCAGCAATTGTATAGCATCAATGAATTTAGTATTACCAGTTGTCCCTCCTTGGGGCTATGGATCGTCATCACTATAAGCCTCTTGGCTGCTTCTTAGAATATTGCTCTTATTGTCCAACCTGTCAATTTTTGTGGACAGACAAAATTTTGCAAGCATGCAGTTGTGCCCTACTCTGCATATTGAGATGAACTGAACAGTTTATCAGTGATAGATTGGAGACATGCTCATAAATGTGCTGACTTGTCTGGAGTCTGGTCAACCAGAGGCCTTAAATACAGAGGAAATGATGGAGAGACTGGATGCGGTTGCAGAAATCAGTGAACAGCTGTGAGCAAGAGCAACCTAGGGAAAACTTAGGACAACAAAACAATTAACACAGAGGGAGCAAAACTGGACACAGAGAGCACTTTAAACAAACAAGGAAAATATACTAACACAAATCTTTAAGATTAATATAAAAAACCTGAATAAATTAAGCAAAATAAGCTAACATCTTTCTAGAAATAACGTACACATATAAACTAAACTAAACTAGGAAAGACCTCTCAATGTAAAATGAAAGAGGTTAGAAAAAGCTAATTAAAACCCAAACACCAAAAGGATCCAACAGTCTCTATATTTTATTTTTAAATTTGTTTTTCAGTGTGTCTTTTAATTTGTATTTTCTAATAAATAATATTATTTGGGTAAATATAAGTCACAGTTTTGAGATTAGATCTTTACAATTTTCTTTTATAACCTTTCAGGTTGTCTTTTAAGAGTTTAGTTGATATTATCGAGGGGTTTGTGGTTGCATCATGGTCAGGGAATGGGGATCCTTGCATAGTTTTTTTTTGTTTGTTTTTACAATGACTAATATTTGTTTTCTGGATTAAGCTCTTAAAGATCTAACACTTGTTGGTACAGTTGCCTTAAAGGAGGGCATACATTCTACAGATGTTAATATTTTGTAGGCTTTGTTTAATAAAGGTAATAAATGACATTATATAAATTAAGATGATGTACTTTTTCTATTTGATTCTCTTGTAAGCGCCATAAAAAAAAAAAAAAAATAATAAAAAAAAAACTACAACTACATTACCCACAAATCCAGGTTGTTGGAGTAAAGCGAGCTACGGGTGCCCGCGTGGTTTTGACAAGCAGGCACGTTGGAGAGGCTCAAACGGAGACTGGGGCGCACCAGAGAAGGAGAGCAGGAATTGCAGAGGCAGAGGCGCGCGGGCGCACGGTCATTTTCGCCCTCCCGCATACCGGGGGAGTCCCACATCTGTGCCTCCACCGGAGCGCAGGCGTTTAACCAGGCTTTGTCAGTACCTCCACACGGAACCAGACTCTAACAGAACCCTTTTGCTCCCTGTTTTTTACATTTCTCCCCCTTTTGTGTTTTTTCCTTTTCCCATATTTAGCGGGTGCAGACGCTGATGTTGAGCCAGAGGAGCGGCTCTTAACATTTAAGTGGGTGGACGGTTCCTCCAGCCGAGGCGCAGCGGAGGAGCTCAGATGAAGCGGGGACACGACGCTCGGTGACGGATCCCAGACCCGGGCGACAAGAGGGACTGATCCCCGCTCCAGCCAGCCTGCAGCCCCGCCAGGATCTCCCTTATACCAGGGGTGAGTGTTTCATGCAGATATACTCGTGGAAACGCTGCCGTCCACTCATCCAGCTGTGCCGCGCACATCTGGCAGCGCTTCAAATTGAGTTTTTTTTCCTCTTTTCCATTTAAACAAGTCAGCGCCGTTACCTGCCGCTGCTCTGCATGCCTCCAGCTGATCTGGGCTCAACTGTAGGCATGCATGTGTAATAATGATGTTGAAACGCGCACACCGTGATTGTGCGCACAGTGAACCCTGCATAACCCCACCTGTTTTTTTTTTTTTTTGTTTGTTGCTGTTGTCTTTTTATATTTACAATAATCTCACCTATTTCCCGCATAGCTGCATAGACACTGTGAGCTTTTTGTGTTATGATGTCTGTCTCACTCCATAGATTTTACCTGCGTTTAATTGGACGTTTCAGACTCACATGAGTGAATCGCGCCAGATGTTTAAACCCAGATGTTTGTTTTTACATATAAACAGAGGGGAGGGGGATACATCCACCCTCCTGTCTAGTTGGACAGGACACATCAGCAGCAGCAGCAGCAACAGCAGCAGCTCATCCTGCAGTGGTGATCCAGCCAGTGAGTTTGGATACTTATGATTCTGAGCTCTGATCTGTTTTTTTCATTAAAAAAAGGAGAAGAAAGAGTGCAGAAGACAATGCCAGTGTCTGTGCAGTGACAGTTGGTTATTTATGGGCCCCTCAGAGACATGCTCAGGCTGCCCTGGTGCAGGTGCTGTTAGTATGCAGAGTAATGCTCAGTGTGTCTGTCTGTCTCTCTCTCACACACACACATACACACCCCGTCTCACGATCTGAGTCACTGGGTAAGGACTTAGTTCTCTTATATTAGCAGTTAATGAATAATTTCTCCACACTGAATGTTGGCATGAAAGGGAAATGGCTTTACCTTGGCATTCAACTGCTGTCTGTCAGACTTGTCTTGAGTGTGTTACCTTGTGTGTGTGTGTGACAAACAGAGTGAATGTGAACAGCTTAGACCTATTGTGCTTCCTACCTGTGCAGCGGGGCTAGTTGTCATAGCAACGGCCTTGTAGCTCCGTTGATGTTCCTCCTGTCCTCATCGGCAGGGTCAGCTCACCTACCACACCACATCTCGTCTCAAATCTACCTCTGAGTGTGTGTATCTTTGTGTGTGTGCTGAGAAGTAGCCTTTGTTTGCACTTTGCTGCAGTTGGAAGCCGTGTAGGTTGGCAGCACAAGGAAATCAGTGTGTGGATGTGTGTGGAGCTATGCATGTGTGTGCGTACAACAGTGTCACAAAGATACACCCTGCCGATATGACAGTCGACAGCTCAACCAATCACCTGTCTTCCTTTCTCTGCCTATCAGTGTGTGAGGTTGTCACAGCCAGGGACCCTCTTTATACAGATATATGGAGATAGAGAAGGCAGAATGGACACATGCATGCATGCATCTTGAATGTATAATCGTGTGGAGATACTCACTGATTGGTACGGTATAGATCCGGATTCCTCATATTTCCTTCAGGGTTTTTAAAGGAAGTTTGGTGCCAGTTTAAGTTTGATGCAACCTGTTGAATGGTTGGATTATGATGCATGCATGCATTATTTCTTAATGGGAGGATTGTGGATCTCAGCGTCACTATTAAAACACTGACAGAACCACCAGACACCCATCCATTGTCTCAGCCTGCTTATCCTTGCAGGGTAGTGTGGGGGGTGCTGGTACCTATCTTCAGCTGTCATTGGACAGGTCAGCCATCAGACATAGCTTTAAAAAAAAAAAAAAAATGCATTAAGAACTTGAGATTTTCCAAACAGAATTTCTTCGAATTCTGTTTGCATTGAAGTGCAATATGTTGTTTTTGTGTTTTTTATTTATTTATAATATCGGACTGAGTGAAATGGTACCAGGTTCACACAGTATAATAACCTTGAGTAAAAATAATATGATTTTTTCTGCTTTTGCAATTTATTTTAATCAAAAACATGCACCACTTACTTCTATTCAAAATGTTAAATAATAGCAAAGAAAACATTTTGAACATTGCAGTTTTGTTTCTTTCATTTTAACCAAATTCTGCTGCTTCGCTATCTAGCCATAATCAGGCACTAAATTGTGCAGTAGTTTTTAATAATGTTAGGCAATATGAACTTATGATTTTATCACAATATGTTGTTATATTTGTTGTGATATGATTTAAAGTTATAAGATAGTGTTGATAACTGTATTAGGTAAATACCATTCCCAAGTACACTTCTGCAGGACATTTAAAAAAATCTGATTGTATCACTAAACGGCACAAAATAGCAGGTTTATGCTATAGTATTGAATTTATTGATATGTATTGATGGTTAACTAAATCGCTAAAAGTCAACAAATCCAAATTTCTGTTATGATGACAAAATCCTACACATTGAATGAAGCCGTAAATGTCATCCGTAGTATTTAAGTGAACTTGATGTGTTTCATAATTTACTGTCTAGTTGTCTTGCTCCTTGTAAAATAGCTATGGGACAGTTTGTGGGTAAAATGTCAATAGCTACGTTTACACGGACACAAATAATCAGATTGGAAGTCTGATCAGATCAGAAATGTTTTCTGTAAATCTGTCAGAGTGAAGATTTTAATCCGATTTGGTCTGATCGGAATAGAGGTGAGAGAGGTGTCTTTTTCTGATCGCTGTTCCGATTGTCCAATTAAACACCCATTCGGATTTTTGGAGAAAGATAATCTCCACTGCGTATGTGTGCAACCTCAGCTGGATGGTTTTCTGCCCTTTTTTCCAGATAATTACACAGTCGCGCACATGCTTAAATGATTTAATCTGTTCAAATGCTTGGTATATGTATACTTGCCTCACAATTGGATCCTTTCATTTAGTGTCCATGTAAACTTTTAATTTCCAACAAGAAATGTTGTGCCATGCTGCTCCTAAGTCATTTCAATCAGAGGCCAGGGAAAGTTCCTGGATTACTACCACGTTCCTTGCCCATTTGCAGCATGGAACAACACAGTGTTACCCCTCCCTCACCTGTTGCTACCCCACAATATTTGGAAAGCTGGCTATAAGTATTGTACAACATCTTTCTTTGGTTGCAAAATACCAATCTATTTGAATTATTTTCTATCCATAAACCACTGTTAGGTATGAGTGTGTGTGCAGTGTCTGTATAACCCTTTGATGGAATGCGACCTGTCCGGGGTGTGCCCCGCCTCTCATCCATGATCGCTGGAGATAGACCCTCCAAGGACAAACTTGTAAAAAATGATGAGTGGATAAAGGCAAGTTGACAGTCATGGTGTGTAAAACTCAAAGAGCATCACAAATAACTCTTTTTAGAAACGCCGGTTTAAAACAAGTTACCAAAATGGTAAGTCGTGCCACTTTGAGCCTAATAAACCAGCCAACTTTAGTTTGTTAAACTTGTCAATCTATGTGGGAAAAAAAAACAGCCAGAGGGGTTTGCAGAGTAAACAGTGTGCACTTGGAAATCACTGCTAAATTTGAATAATTTCTGTATTTTACCTGAATTCTATCTATCAAAATATAGGCACAAATTATACCTATATCCCTATTGTACTTGCAATAACTAGTTTGTTTCATTATCTTTGCAGGAGTAGGAATAATGGTTGATTTTATGTTGTAAATAAAGTAACCTGCTCCTGTTAAAGACCTTTGTTTGACATTTTGCTGTAAAAATGGAAGTAATATGTGGATGCCATATCATATTAGGCTCATACTGGTCCTTTCCTGACACGGAGTAACATTTTAACAAGCAGACATTAGCCACTTAATTAACCAGCTTTTGTACAGTCACTAGTCAGCTGCTTAACAAACATGCAGCTCATACATTTCCAGCTTTAGTATTAAATATTATTGCTTTATATAAGAGTTATAGGTGCTGTTGTTTTAGTTTTCACACCAGTTTATTTGCTTCTCTGTCTGGTAACTGAAAGAAGCCTTTAGTAGCTTTCTTTCAGTCAGCTGATCAGCAGTGGCAAGCAGCAAGTGAGGAAAGGGGAGGACTGGTGTCCTTAAAAGGATTTAAAATGGTAGGAACCATATGAGAGAAACCTTTTTGATTTTTAAACCATTACGTTTTCAAATCTTAGTGCACCTTGCTCCAAATAATAATTGTACGCCTTACATAATATGTAATGTCTAATATAAAGTTGTAGCGATCTTTTCCTGTCCAATGATAAGCAGAAGTCTCAAAACACTCCTCTTATTCTAATGGATTTCTTCTTACTTAAATTAGGGAGTTTATGTTTTTATCGTAAATTGTAAAGTTTAATTTGAGCGGTTTTTAACCAGCAACTTTATTTTTTAAAGTGGCAAAGCTGGTTCAGTCGATATTTGATATTTTAAGAAACCAAAGTTTTACTTAAAAACAGAATTAATGTGATTTGTGCTTGTTTCTTGCGATGCATTCAGCTGTCAGACGACTCCAAGAGAGACGCAACCATTAATGTTCCGTAAAACGGCTTCTCTTAATGTTTTGTAACAGGATATTTTTCGAGTATCTGACAACGTTACTTCATTTCTACTACTGGCTAAAGTCTAAATTTGCCCATAGGGTCTCAAAGACCCATCTTTCTTGCTCCGGTTAATCCAAACGTCACCTGGAGTGAAACGGCTTTCGCTGAAGGCAGGTAAATGCGGTTCATCTCCCACTCACACATGTACACACCGATGCACCCACACAAACACACGTTCACAGCAACCATTTAGTGTTAGTGTAAGCAGTGTTTGTATGCTCCATTCTGTCACCTCCCACACGATACATTCATAAAACGGCTCCTCGGCGCCAAAGGCAGTGACTCAAAAAGAAGACGTCTCCCCCTTCTTCTCCCTCTCCTGTTTCCCTCTTTTAACCTCTCTGCCCCCGTATATCCGTCCTCTTTGTCAGTTCCTTCCCATCCTACTTATTTCCTTTTTCCCCTACCTATGTTCCTCACTCTCTTCGTCTCCTTCACCTCCTCTCCGACCCACCCCCCCAGGCAAAGCTGGTTGCAGCCGGTT